GTGATGACTGTCAGCCATATGTCATGAAATGCTAGATCTTTATGCTGCTCCCCCATGTGTTGAAACTTGAACTGTAAGCTTCTAAAAGTAGTATCTTCAGCTCCAGGGCTGTCTCCACCTGCCCAAGCTGGAGAGGAAGGATAAGAGCACTTCCTGTTTCAGTTGAGTCTTGCTTGAGCCACAAGGTCTTCCTGGTGTGTTCCTGTATTCTTGACTCTTCTTTTATCCTGACTGTTGACTTGATTCCAGAACCTGCTTCCTTCATGTCCTCTAGTTCCACCGTAATCTTTGGCTTCATCTTCTAGCTTTCTTCTTAATCTTGCCTCATGGTTGGCCCTGTGGTTCTGATTTACTCTTCAGGCCTGACAATTGCTTGGTTCCCTGGTTCAGACTGCTGTCCATAGCCCAGCTCTGACACAATCTGAGTCTGGTTCCTTTGTTGCCCAGAAAGAACATCAAAATAAGAAATGGAGACCTGTTGGTCTTGTCACAGTCTAATGATTAACGGCTTGTGGTAACATGGAGGTGGGCTTTTTCACTTGAAATTTGAGAGGTCCCATCTACATTGACATTCCAATGGCTTTTGAAGATGCACCTGTTTACACAAGCATTCCTTTAATCTCTCAACCTGAGTCTCCAGCTTTAATTGCTGTGTTGTTTTAATGAGATGGTTTATTGCATATTTTAATGATAGATGATTATATTTTAAAGCTTTAATGAAATTACTTTAATTATGAACGTGTATAGTTTAATGGTGGCGCTGTGGTCTAAACCACTGAGCCTACGGCTTGCCGATCAGAAGGTCGGTGGTTCGAATCCCCGCGATGGGGTGAGCTCCCATTGGTCAGTCCCAGCTCCTGTCCACCTAGCAGTTCGAAAGCACTTCAAAGTGCAAGTAGATAAATAGGTACCACTGCAGCAGGAAGGTAAAGGGTGGTTCTGTGTGCTGCTCTGGTTTCGACAGAAGCGGTTTAGTCATGCTGGCCACATGACCCGGAAAAACTGTCTGTGGACAAACGTCAGCTCCCTTGGCCAGTAAAGCGAGATGAGTGCGCCAACTCCAGAGTTGTTTGTGACTGGACTTAACTGCCAGGGGTCCTTTACCTTTGCCTTTTTATAGCTTAATGTGCTTGTAATTACTTTTTCTATTTAGAAACCACTTAGAAACCAATTTAGGAATTCAGCAGTATAAAAAGGTAAAGGACTCTGGATGATTAAGTCCAGTCAAAGGAGACTATGGGATTGTGGTGCTCATCTCGCTTCAGGTCAAGAGAGCCGGCATTTGTCCACAGACAGCTTTCCGGGTCATGTGACCAGCATGACTAAACTGCTTCTGGTGCAGCAGGACACCGTGATGGAAGCCAGAGCACACAGAAATGCCGCTTACCTTTATTAAGCAGTATATAAATTGCTTAATAATAATAATAATAACTGGACTTTTCCCAAAATTGTTCAGAGTAATATACAACACAAGTAAAAGTAAAATACATGAAAAATCCAAACACATTATGGCATGTTTTTGTGGAGTGGGCACAACCAGACTAACACTTCATTTTCGTAACAAATTTATGTTACTGGCCTCCTAAGACTTGTATCTGACAAATCATATAACCCTTTAAGAAAGGGGTGGGGGTTGGAGAATAGGCTTCCCCATTAAACCTTCTGCTCAACTCCCTTAATTTTCAACCATTAGTTCGTTTCCCTGTCCAATATTTCTAACATGGGTCCAATACCACTGATGGCTCCAGTTCCCCATGGAAGCGAAAATCTTCCAGCTACCTTGTTTCATCAAGCTATTAAGATGTCTAAAACCCCTTGGAGGCTTAGATTAGTAGATCTGAACTTTTTTTGGAGAGGGGAAAAAACCTTAGCTTCCATCCTCCCTTCTGAGAAATGTTTATGGGTGAATGATTTTTCTACCATTTCCAAAGATTTATTGGTTTAATTTAACACCACTGTGAAAACGGAAACATCCCTCTCCATTCCAGACCGGTGGCCTGCAAAGGCGGCTATGCCTCCGACACTATCTTCAATTCTCCACTCAAGAACAGATGTCCAAACTTTCAGCCTGTTGTCACCGAAGGCCCAAGGAATCTGGGATGTCATAGTACTGAGTAGCTTTTCTGGCTGCTCAGAGCCAATAGGTAGAACAACAGCACCACAAAGCAACAGGAAGCAATTGCTGTTGGTGGCATATTCCAAAGGGGGCGCTCTTTTCTGACCTCCATCTGCTAGAGCGAGAGATCAGAGCAGAGTAGAACACCTTCCTTTCCCTTTGCTTACTGGTGGGACCACAGAACCTCTCCAGGTGTTTAAAATGAATGTGTGAAGCTCAAACTGGGGACAAGAGCGAGTGTTTATAAAATCATGCACGGCAGGCAGGAAGTGGATAGAGAAAAATTGTTTTCCCTCTTTCCTAACACTAGAACTTGTAGACATCCAATGTATGCAAGATTGAGTGTTGTTTGCACCTGACTGTCTCAGGAGACAGTGCCTTTGGCGGTAAGGTCAAACCATCGGAGAGTTACAGTGCCTGCTGTAGCTGAAAAGGCCAATATGGGAGAGACATGTTTTATTGAAGGTGGGGCAGATGAAGGGATCTGGTTTTGCTGCTTCAGGTGCACCATGGCATTTCTTCTCTTTGTGCCCCTCCTAGCGGTCATTTCTCCTTTGGTCACTGCTGTGAATACGTGACCTGTCTTCTGTCTCCAGGCACTGCGATCTTCTGCAAGGGGTTCTCATATGTGTCAGCATTCATGTTGCATTGGCAGCCATCTTTGAAACACAGAGCTGGAGACTTATTCATGCTGTGCATAGTTAAACTATAGAACTCACTCCTACGGGAGACAGTGATGGCCACCAACCTGGTGGATTAGAGGATTAGACAAATTCATGGAGGAGAGGGCTATCAGTGGCTACTAACCATGATGGTTATGCATGCCTCCATGGATGGAGGCAACAATGGTTCTGAAGAGCTGTTGCCAGAAACCACAGGAGGATAGAGTGCTCTTCTGCTCGGAAACATTGCTTGCATGTTTCTCACAGGCATCTGGTTGGTCATTGTGAGTACAGGATGCTGGGCTAGATGAGACATTGGTCTGATCCAGTAGGACTCTTCCGAAGTTCTTATGCATGCCAGGAGTCCCCGCTCCACTCCTGACCTCACACTGAATGGGAAGGTCTAAAGGGAACGTCTAAGTGCATTTGGCTAAAAGCGTAGAGAAGCCTCCTTGCAATCAAGGGAGCCTGAAAGCATAGAGGTCCCAGTCATGGGGAGGTTTCTAAGCACATTGAGCTGAATTTTGCTAGAAGCCCCCCTTCAGACCTCAACCAATGTGGTTGGTGTAGAAAAGCTCAGGGACACAGGGGAGAATGGCTAGCATATGCCACAATGGCCCACTCCCTGACCCTCACCTGCTCCTTTTGAACAGCCCAGAGAAGGCTAGATTCTCACAAATGGGCCTTCCAAGCTGCCAGAGACTCATTGCTATTGTTTTTACATTTTGCACCTTTTTATAGTAATTATAAAAGAATTGCTGCATTGTCAAAATGACTCAGAAGACATGGAGACTAGCTTGTTTTCTGTTGCTCTGGAGCGCAGGACCTAAACCACTGACAAGAAAGGAGATTTTGACAAAACATTGGGAAGAACTTCCTTATGGGAAGAGCTGTTCAACCTCCTTCATTGGAATGTTTAAAAAAGAGGTTGGGTGACCACCAGTCAGGACCACAATGTTGCTGTGATTCCTGCATTGCAAGGGGTTGGACTAGACGACCCTTGGGGTCCTTCTGACTCTATGATTATGTGCTTCTCTCCTTTCCCTAGAAAAAATAAGGCTGCTTTCTCCAAATATTCACCACAATTTTTAATATTTGGGTTTGTTTTTGTTGTTGCAGTTCCTATTTCACACAAACACAAAATGCTTTGAGGAGGACACTACCCCTGGGATATTGTGACGGGGGACAGCAGACTTGTGGCAGCACCAAAAATATATATAAATAAGAAAACCAGGAAGCTATGCCACTGTGAATGGTGACCTACACAAAACTGTGGGAGGGATTTCTCTTCCTCCTGGATAAATTTGGTGAAACAGGTTCACCAATTTCTCTAGCTATGAATAAATGCTTCCTCTAAACCAGGGGTAGGGACACGGGTGGCGCTGTGGGTAAAACCTCAGCGCCTAGGGCTTGCCGATCGCATGGTCGGCAGTTCGAATCCCCATGGCGGGGTGAGCTCCCGTCTTTCGGTCCCAGCTCCTGCCCACCTAGCAGTTCGAAAGCACCCCTAAGTGCAAGTAGATAAATAGGTACCGCTTTATAGTGGGAAGGTAAACGGCGTTTCCGTGTGCTGCGCTGGTGCAGGCTCGCCAGAGCAGCTTCGTCACGCTGGCCACGTGACCCGGAAGTGTCTCTGGACAGCGCTGGCCCCCGGCCTCTTAAGTGAGATGGGCGCACAACCCTAGAGTCGGACACAACTGGCCCGTACGGGCAGCGGTACCTTTACCTGTACCTAAACCAGGGGTAGTCAACTGGAACTGGTCCCTTCCAGATGAAGGGACAACAACTCCCATCAGCACCAGCCAGCATGGCCAATGAGAGTTGTTATCTGCAGCATGTGGTGGATACTACCACTGCTCCACGCAACTCACAATGATATAAGCTTCTGTCAACCACAATATTAACAGACAAACCTAAAAGCGCCTCTATGAAAACTCCAGTGAAGAGCCATTGATCGTTATCCTTTGACTAATTATCTATTAATGATACCACAGTCCCTTTCAAGGTTTCAGGTTAGTTGCCAAGGCAACGCTTTCAAGAGTCATGGAAGCACACAGATTGTTGCATCACAGTTCATGAGCCGCTGTTTCACCTTCCTTGTGGCTCAGCCAATGGCTTTGGACTGGCAAGATGGGCAGTAGGCAACTGATTCAAATCTTTTCTGGCTACCTTGATCCTGGCTGGTGCCTTGGCTTCCACTAAATCAGAACCACGGGCGAAAGAAACTGGAAACCACTGGGGAGTATGGATTGGCTCGAAAACAAAAGGGCCAAGTCCCTGCGGGTCTCCAATGAGAGAGAGGCATTTCAGGTATGGAGGAGGGAAACGATCTGCATGTATTTTTGAGTGACCAGGCACTTAACAGGGAGTGGGGGACACCCTGCTTTTACCTGAGCTGTTTAGATAGCTCAGATCTAAGGTCCTGCAAGCAACCAGGCCTAGGAGAAAGGCCACAGCACAGTGGTGTAATAGATTACATGCAGAAGGTTCCAGGTTCAATCCCCAGCATCTCCAGTTGGGGCTGGGAGAGACCCAACTGTTTAAATCCCCAGAGAGCTGCTACCAGGCAGACCAGACAAGACTGAGCTAAATAGCTCAATGGTCATACGCAGTGCAAGGGAGCTTCCTGTGTTCACACATGTTCCTATCTCCCAAACTCTTCAGCTGAAGAAGATCCGGCGGTCTCTTGACTCCATGAAGACGATTAATGACAACCTGCTGAAGCAAGAGGAGAGGAAGGTGAAAAAGTGGCTGAAGAAACAAGCACAGATCTCACCCTCTTCTTCAGCCTATAAAACATTATACTACAAGGTAATGAAGAAGTCTGGAAGGGCAGGATGGCACTATAGAAACATTGCTCATCTAGTTGTCTATATACGCACAGCACAAATAGTGGAATTGTAGAATTGGAAGGGACCTGAAGGGTCATCTAGTCCAACCCCCTGCAATGCAGAAAACACAGATTCATAAGAAAGAGGGTTGTTTTGTTTTGTTTTTAGCTACAAAATGTTGCACGTCTCTGCTTAGCTCCATTCTTGGTTCTGTAGAACATGCCTACATGTTGGCTGCAGCTTCTCATTCATTCATCTTAGGTTAAGGTGTCCACATTTCCACATTAGTTTGTTATTTTTGTTAGTTTGTTTTAAATCCCTAATAATAATAATAATAATAATAATAATAATAATAATTTATTTATACCCCGCATCCATCTGGCTGGGTTTCTCCAGCCACTCTTGGCAGCTCCCAGCAGAATATTAAAAACACAATAAAATATCAAACATTAAAAATTTCCCTAAACAGGGCTGCCTTCAGGTGTCTTCTAAAAGTCAGATAGTTCTTTATTTCCTTGACATCTGATGGGAGGGCGTTCCACAGGGTGGGTGACAGTACCAAGAAGGCCCTCTGCCTGATTCCCTGAAACCTCATTTCTCACAGTGAGGGAACCGTCATAAGGCACTGGACCTCAGTGTCTGGGCTGAACGATGGGGGTGGAGACGCTCCTTCAGGTATACTGGGCCAAGGCCGTTTAGGGCTTTAAAGGTCAGCACCAACACTTTGAATTGTGCTCAGAAACATACTTTAAATGTGGATTTCTCCTAATACACAAAATTTTATGTGCAATTTTGCCTTATATAATGCATTTTTGCATACAATCTTCACTAATGTGTGCATTTTTACGGACATTTTATCCCAGTGCAAATGCATTTTTGTATACATTGCAAAGATAGCTGTGTTTTGGTTCGCATACTGTTTCCAAAAGTGCAAATTAGGTAGGTTCACTTTTAAATGCCAACAGATCCCTAGTCACACCCAGATGCAACATGATCACTAGCACCAAACTCCTCCTAATACTAAACACAGGGCGGGGGGTTCCGACAGCTTGGTTGCCCCAATGGCCTCACCTGTGAATGAAAAGGAGGAGCTTTTGCATATTGGGGGGAGGGATTTGAAGTTATTCAAAAGTCCATGACTTCTTAAATTGCAGCCCTAATAAGGGAATCCCTCCCCACAATATGCTGTATTCATCAGTACTGCACCTGCTTATTACAGTCTCAGGATACTCAGTTAACGGCTATGATTCCAAGCGGGAAGTCAGAAGAACCACAGATTGATGATAGAGAGGCAAAGAACAGCATGCCCAGATAGGCCTGACTTGAGAGGTGGGTCTGGGCATGCTTGCTCTGTGATGTCAGGAGAAAGAGGGAGAAAATGTCCTGCTTCTGTGCCTCTAAAGAACACAGAAGACAGTGAAATTACTGGCCCAGGAGCAGGAGTGGAGCACTCTGTCAATTTCAGTTTCTTCCTATTTCTCAATTTCCCAACTTTAAGTTCAGTTCACATCAGTTTGCCAGCTGAACTTTTTCCTTTAAAAAAAAAGTCCCCTCCCAAAACTGCATCAGCATTTCCATAAGCATTTATCCCCAGATAACGCATCTTTGCATGTGATTTTCTCTAATAGGCATCTTTTGACAACCAATTTCCCTTACTAGAATGCATTTTTTTCAGTAGGATTTTCATGAATAAATGCATTCATATATTTTTTGCACATTTCCCCCTAAGACACAAATCCTTTGTACAGATTCCTTGGTTGAAGCGTTGCATCAGAAAATGTTGAAATGTGTGGATTTTGATGGGCAGGTGTGGTTTGGTTTGCATATTGTTTTGGTGAAGTGCAAATGAGGTAGGCTCACATTAAAATGTGAACTGAACAGGATTTCTCCCCCATCCCTCCTCCCTCCCTTCAAATCCATCCTTGATACCCACTTTTTCCACAGTGTAACCTTTGGTTCAGTCTACTGGCCAGAGCAGCTGCCTGACTCCTGTAACCGCTGGCATTCAACCTCCCTGCTCTGAATAATGTCTCCTTAACTTCCTTCCTGTTGAGCAGGTCCCCAGCTAAGTGCTCAGGCATGGATGGTTGATGCTTTCTCAATGGGAGAGGTCCAGAGGGATCTCTGGGATAAAATAGCTGTCCTACCCCCTGCCAGCATACTTAAGCTAGATCTCTCTGTGTGTGATCAGCAGAATAGGGAGTGTGTGCATGTGTGTTTGGAATGCGACTGAGGCTGCATTCACACAACAGTTTACTCCATGGGTAGGCAACCTAAGGCCCGGGGGCCGGATCTGGCCCAATTGCCTTCTAAATCCGGCCAGCGGACAGTCTGGGAATCAGCGTGTTTTTACATGAATAGAATGTGTCCTTTTATTTAAAATGCATCTCTGGGGCATAGGAATTCGTTCGGTTTTTCATCTTCAAAATATAGTCCGCCCCCCCCCACAAGGTCTGAGGGATAGTGGACCGGCCCCCTGCTGAAAAAGTTTGCTGACCCCTGGTACTCCTTTTCCCCGCTATTTCCCCAACTGTTAATTTCTACATTATATCTGATGTTTCACACAATGTAAAAGTCACTTTGGGGAAACTAAAGGAACATAGTATATGCTTAGCACTTTGTGCTATTTGATTTCGAGGGGGGGGATGCAGCCCCCTTAACCCAGAAAACCACAGGAGTAAAGTGATGAAATTTGGAACATAAAGTTATTTTTTGATGTTTTCATGGGGAACAGAAGCACACATGTGCAGAAATGGAGGGGAAGTAGCAACATTGTCTCTTTTTTAAATTTCATTTTTCATTTTACATCAAACAATAAAGTAATTTTACATCGAATTTCAAAACCCCATTTTGACCTCTCTCCCTCCCTCCCTCCCTTCCTGTGGTTACTTATGTTTATAATACATTTGCTGCATCTCCAAGCAGAACCTAATTATTATTTATCCAATGTAATAAAAATTAATTTTATATCACTGCACGTCTTTACATTAATCCTGTGAATGAAGTAGCAACATTGTCCAGTGACATTTATTGTTGTGTCACACCACGCCCACTGGTGCGAATGATATTTAGCATGACGCATTGGCATATAAGTCAACAAGCCACAGTTCCATTAAACAACAGGTCCTGCCATGTGAAAGGAACACTAGTATATAGCACAGAAGCACTATCATTATAATCAGGAAAACTAATGCTATTTTCCCCATATTTGAATGCACGCTGACCAAAAGAAAGAGAAAGAATTAAGGTGGCAGTGCTAACCTGAGAGCATCTGTGATGCTTGGCTAGAGATCTTAAATGGGGCAATGGATTTATAGCAGTGTGACTCTTATGCCCAGCTTGCATTTTTGTAAATACACTTGAATATTGCATTGTATTTCTCCTGTGATCTCTCCTGCGAAAGGAAACCAAACCTGAGTCAGCCCTTTCCCCAGATCTTCTCCCCACTCAGTGAAGTGGGCTGCGTTTGTAACAATATACTTCCCACACCCAGCATAAACTGCATAAAAAAGGTAAAGGTAAAGGGACCCCTGACCATTAGGTCCAGTCACAGATGACTCTGGGGTTGCGGCGCTCATCTCGCTTTATTAGCCGAGGGAGCCAACGTACAGCTTCCGGGTCATGTGGCCAGCATGACCAAGCCGCTTCTGGCGAACCAGAGCAGCGCACGGAAACACTGTTTACCTTCCCGCCAGAGCGGTACCTATTTATCTACTTGCACTTTGACGTGCTTTCGAACAGCTAGGTGGGCAGGAGCTGGGACTGAACAACTGCACAAAAGCTGGATATAAAAGTTTGCAATCCCTCCCCAGGGGACCTGCAAACTTGAAAATGAGCAGAAGATGAAGAAGGAGCTCGTCTCGCTTTTCTCAAAGTCAAGAATCACCTTTTGCAGCCTTTGTTCAAAGGAGCGTTTGGATGTGGCATGTTGTTAAAACACAGCAATTAAAATAATCCAACGCAGCTTCTTCCTTGAACGTGGTCCAAACATCCCTTGGAAAAATACTGTTGGGAAAGCACCAAAATTCCTGCCACCCTCTATATTTAAAACAGAGAAAGATTTCATCACTGCCCCTTAAGACCCTTCGATCATATTTTCCTTAAGTAGTTGATTAGCATCTCTTGGGAAACGTTTATCTGTTTTTGCCATCTGTCTCACACTTTCCCATGTGAACATTTTTTTTAAGGGCAAAGGAAGCAGCAACATGTTTACCCACCAGCTGCCGGTGAAAAGGGAAAGAGTGCCTGCCATTTGAAAAGGGGGGGGGGAATCAAGTGCCTAATGTGACTCTATTTTAAAAATGCACAATAATAACAAGGAACATACATCTTATAGACTTTGCAAGAACATCAGAAAGAGGCATCACTGGATCAGACCAAAGCAGTGGCCAGCCTAGGGCTCTCAAATTTCAGTGGCGCCCAGGACAGAGCCAAAATTCAGTGCCCCCCTGCCTCTCGCTCTCCATTCTAAATAATATTTGTGGCATCCCTGAGGCTCTGCACCCAGTGGAGCCACACCAGTCGTGCTCCCATAATCTGCTTTTGACCAAAGGCCCCGTTGTCACCAAACATTTAAAGCATGTAACAAAAGGTAATGCTAGATTATAAGCTACCTGGGGTTGAAATGAGCCATGGCAGAAACTGCACCCTCACAGCAAGGAGCCGATGGTAATGAGAACGGTCTGTGTGAGGGTATGGGTGTGTGTAAAAAAAAATTGAGATTTTCAAAATGCCAGGGGACACTTATGTTTAACGTCTAATGTTTGCAAGGCGTGATCCCCAAATAAATTAGAAAATGTGCTCCTTTTCCTCACCTCAGACGCCCAGCCACCCTGCGTCCAGCCAAGAACAATTCACAGACACTCACACAGTCTCTCGGAAAGATTCCTTCGATAGCCCGTGGACCCAGTTTGGTGACCATCTGCCCAACTTTGTGAGCTTCCTGAGACTCCCAACCAAAAGGTCAAGCAATGGTAGGAATTATTGTGGGAATGTTCAGGGATGCAGGAGAGGATATATTGTTTAATGATATCCTTCCTAACTTGAGTTAGCAAGTTCTATATCTTAGCTGAGTAACATTCCCCTTTAAATGCACAACGGTTTGCTTATTGCAGGTTCATCTGGGCCTCAATTCCTGGTAAGATCCCTTCTTATCCCTCTTAAAAAGAATAGACAAGACAGTCTTGTTCAAGTCTATATAAAAGTAGTTTACTCACAATCATTCAGTTCATGGTTGGCTCCCTGCAGGCAAACTTAGGTTACAAAACTATATACATATGTGGAACTATCCCATAAGGGAGTTAGTTCCTAAGTGACTGCAAACAGTCAGCCACTTCTGCTCACACATAGAACAGCAAAGTGGAGAAGAGCAAAGGGTTCCTGCGTTGCTCTTGTAACCCAGGACAACTAGTCCAGATGAGGCCACACCCACCTCTAGTCACATGCAGAGGAAGTTTGTCACAGCTCAGGAGGAAACAGGAAGTCTTCTCCTGACTGCATACAAAGCATCCCTTAGCATGTTCATTCTAGGAATGTTGTATTTGACTGCTATGTGTTTGACATCCCACAGTTATCACATTCCCAAGACCCAGTCTGGGGTTTCCTGGCTCCACCCTGCCAGGTTTGGTTAGGTTTAGAGCAGGGGTGAGGGCCCTGTGGCCTTCCAGAAGCTGTTGACCCTGAACCTGCAAGATCACCTTATCCCTTTCATGCCCTCTTGACCTCTTTGATCTGCAGAATTGGCACTCTTAGAGATGCTGCATGATGTCTGTTCCTCAAAGCAGTTTACAAAAATAATAAAGCAATAAAACTATTAGTAAAAACAGCTGTTAGCAGGGAGTGATAGTTAGATGAATGTACGGTAGCCTTCCTAACCCAGGATGGGAAGAAGATGGAAATAGTTGCCAGGTTTCTGCAATGTGCAATGACGTTTTTTGAATGTCATACAACAGTATTTTAGTTGTTAGATGCAGATTTTGCTGAGTGATTTTATGACTTTCAGAATTCTGTCTATGTGCCAATAAAAGGTTTGAGACTGAGATGGGTAGTAAAAAACAATTAAAACAATGAGAAAATCAAAACCAGCAAACAGAAGCTGCTTTTCTGAGCAAAGTGCTTGATCTTTTTCAGAACGGAAGAATTCCAAGGATCTCACACCTTTCAGTGGAATGGATTTGCCCATGCAGACCATCTCGGGCAGACATGTAACTGCACCCAGAAACAGTGTTTACCATGGGTTCCAACCTTACAGAGACACCAGGAAGGGAAGCAGCCCTGGGGGGCCTAGCCAGGACAACAGCATATCACTCCAAGAAGCCATTGCATTCTTCCCTTCCTTGCAAAGGTTGTCAGCGAGGGGAGACCGGGTCTCAATGTCAACACTGCTTCTCCATAAGCCACTCTCTGCATTCCCAGCATTGCAGAAAAAGCTCAAAAGCTTGCTGGAGAAAGAATGGGAGGAAGAGAACTCAAAGCCTCTCAAGCTGCTGCCTGAGATTAAGCCTGAAGAATTTTTGAGCTGCAGGTTAGCAAAAAACAAAAAAGGGCAACCCTCAGGTAGAACCTGCACTCTGTGATGTCTGCATCGCTTTAGCCCTATCCAGGTGTTCACAAGTAAGGACAACACGATAGTGGGGAACAGGGGCCCAACTCAGGTTGGAGAACAGTGCAAAGTCTCCCTGTGTGGTGACAGAACTCTGATTTTAAAGGGTTATGCATTGCACCCTCATGCAGTGCTTTTTTCTATTAAAAATGTTTAGGGGTACTCTCATTTTCCTACTCATATTGAAATACTGCACCTCAGGGAGGCCTAACTTAGATTCACAAAATGTTTAGGGGTACGCGCGCCCCTGCGCCCCCCCCCGAAAAAAGCACTGCCCTCATGCATCAGCATTATTTGACCTCGGGTCCCCAGGTGTTGCTGAACTACAACTCCCATCTTGTGGGTGGGGCCACTGCTGGTGCACTCACCCCCTTTCCCCCTGTTGACGTGTTTTATATACTCATGAGCATAATAGCAGAACAGGGCTTTTCTTTTCCTTAATCCGCTTCTTGACAAGCATGGGGAGACGAGCAAAGAGGGGGAACTGATTACTGTTTTGGTGTTGTGAATCACTCCTTGACTAGCAACCTTGCCTTGCGGGCTCACCAATCTAGGCTGCTCTACAGTGCCAACTCTCAGTAGGCCCTGTAAAAAAGGCAGGAAGAGGATAGACAGCTGGCCAGCAGCTCCTGTTTTGACTCCCTGGCTGTGTGTCTAGTCCGGCCTTCCCCAACCTGATGCCCTGCAGATGTTGCTGGACCATTATTCCTGAACATGGGCCATGCTGGCTTGGGCCAATGGCAGTTCTGGAGAATGGAAGGTTGGAGAAGGCTGCTCAAGTCTCTCCTGTTTTCTGCAGCTCTTTGGCTCATTTCCCTGCCAAGGTCCTCAAACCAGTTCATCTTCTGCATCTCACCCAGTCTGTTTGCCTACTTCCTGTTGTGCTTACTCTGCTCATCCAGTTACACCACCTGCCCCCTAGCTTATCAGGAGGAGGATTGGAGCAAGGTGGGAGAGTCCCTCAACTATCCTTGGGCCCTGCATATTGGCCCTGTTTTGTCAGAAGCTGGTGCCAGCCACATCTCTTAGAACAGGGGTGGGGAACCTTCGTCCCTCCAGATGCTAACAAACTATAAATCCCATCATCCTTGGACTTTAGGAGAGTTGTAGTTTAGTAACATCTGGAGGTGAGGAAAAGGAGCCCTGGTGAATTAATTAATGGTGAACTAGAGAATCCAGGGCAGTAGATTTTTCCTCTTAACAAATGTGACTTACAAGCATCCCTCCCTCTTATTTTCTTTGCACAGGTACCTCCGTTTGTCCCAGAGCAATATTGATACCTTGCTGAAGCTGTGCAAGGAAGCTGGGATTTATATTGACTTGCATCCTCATATGAAAGCATCAGACATTGACGTTTGTAAGGTGCTCTCATCCACTCCTAGCAAGGTATTCTAGATTGGACCTGTTGCCCAAATCCGGTTGCATTGCTTAGAAGACAGCCTCTTAGGGGAACATTTCCACCACCACCTATACTTGGAAGAGCCGGTCGCTTTTTGGAGTCAAAATAGTGTGTGAGACGTGTTCTTGTGATGCAATGATAAAATGGTTCTTGCACTCACTATGAGTCAAACTGTGAGCTTAAATGGTTTTTATCAAAATTAATAGTTACTCCCCCCCCCCAAAAAAGCGAAACAGGTCAAAAACTGATCTAAAAGTCAAATTAAATGCTGCATTTCCCCATTCATCTGCATTTGCTCAGGTTGCCTTGAAATATTTGGAACGGCAGCTCTTTGCTTTAAGGTCGTTGTTTCTTGCTGTAAACTAGAAATCATATCCTAGAAGGCACAATGACCACTGACTAGCTTGTTTTAGCCAACCTAAGTGAGGCAAGAATGTGGAGACCATTAACAGCCTTTTTATCTTTCAGTGGGAAGCCTCAGTCCGTAGGGGGAAATGGGTAAATGTAACTCTGGTAGCGTTCACCCGTCAATTTATTCCACTGCCCCAACATTTCCCTACCTGTTAATGTCGGCATTTGAACTTTCACATGACATAAAAGCCACTTCTGGAAAGCTAATGGAATATGAGGCAATTTTAGTGCTCATTTCCATGTTATTCCATTCCAGAAAAAAATCTGTTTGCAACCCCCTTAACCTGCAGTGTGTTGTTGTGTTGGCATCTGTCTGTCTCGAGATACAATGGAGTGTGCTTCTGAAGGTCAAGACAAACCACTGGAGAATCACAGTGCCCACTGTGGCTGCAGAGACCGGTAACTCATAACGGCTGCCTCCCATGTTGCTTTTGCTGCGTTAGCAGCACCAAAGGGACCTCACTGGGGCACAAACCTGGGCAGTGTGTATGGAGGTCCTGGGCTGCCCAGACATTAAGACCTCCATTTTGGCCTCATTGATGTGGTCCAAAGGAAAGCAGAGCAATATGTTTGGCACCAGCTTAGCTGCAGGAATTGCTGGAAGGAGACATACAAGGTGCCATCCAACCGTCTTAGGGACTCCACTCTGGATCTGTGTAGGGCATACTCCTTAGCCTTTTCTTCTCCTGAAGATGTCCCACAAGGCAGTGGGTAAAAAAAATTCCCCAGGGTTTACTCCCAAAGCCTGTCTCACAGATGAGTCTAGCTGCAAGGCTGGAGAAAAGTGACAAAATTTGGGACAGTAAAGCAGCATACATTTTCACCCTCCTGTTTTCATGGGGAAACAGAAGCATGCATGTGCAGAAAGGGAGAAGTAGCAGCAACATTGTCTACAAAGTTGGCGTTGTTGTGTCACATCAGGCCCACTGGTGGAAATGAAATTCAGTATGGTGTGCGGATTTATTGGTCAAAAAGTGCACTTGTTTCCATGTTATTCAGGTCCAGAAGGGGGGGGGGGGACATTTGCAGACCCTTTAACCTAGAAAAGCATGGGAGGAAAGTGACAAAAATTGGGGTTCTTTCCTGTTGAATTCATGGGGGGAATCATGGGGGAACAGCAGCATGTTGGTGTGGGAAAGGTGTAGCAACATTGTCCAATGATGTTTGTTGCTGTGTCACACCACAACCACTGGTGTGAATGGAATTCAGTGTGACATGCCAGTATACCAGTCAAAGGCCACAGTTCCGTAACACAACATTTACTGAAGGGTGAAAGGAACTGTTACACACTACCCCAATCTCCGAATGGGGTGAAATTCCAGGGATTGCAGGTGCTTAGGGTTTGGTTTCCCTGGAATGAAGGTCAGCAGAGACCGTGGTGTCTTTAAGATATATGGTTTATTTACACCTATATACTACCTGGGGCACGCGGGTGGCGCTGTGGGTTAAACCACAGAGCCTAGGACTTGCCGATCAGAAGGTCGGCGGTTCGAATCCCCGCGACAGGGTGAGCTCCCATTGCTCGGTCCCAGCTCCTACCAACCTAGCAGTTTGAAAGCACGTCAAAGTGCAAGTAGATAAATAGGTACCTTCTGGCAGGAAGGTAAACGGCGTTTCTGTGCACTGCTCTGGTTCGCCAGAAGCGGCTTAGTCATGCTTGCCACATGACCCGGAAGCTGTAAGCCGGCTCCCTCGGCCAATAAAGCGAGATGAGTGCCACAACCCCAGAGTCATCCGTGCCTGGACCTAATGTTCAGGGGTCCCTTTACCCCTTTACCTTTATATACAACCTGAGCCTAAGATGGAGGGGCTCACAGCATTAACACTCTGTGAGACCATGCTTCTCCATTGGTCATAGCTTGGATTCCACACAAATCAAGATTGGGCCTGTGCCTCCAGCTTCTCAGTTTACAGCCTGCTTCCAGCTCTGCACACCCACAGCTACAGGAAGTTGGTCTTCATTAGGCTGATAGTCAGTGCTTTTATTCTAATTTTAAAAAAATGTTTAGGGGTACTCTCATTTTCCTACTCATATTGAAATATTGTCCCTCAATGAGGCCAAACTTAGATTCACAAAATGTTTAGGGGTATGCGTACCCCTGTGTCCCCCCCCCCCCGAAAAAAAGCAATGCTGATAGTAAGGCCAGACTCCATGCAGGCTTGGGCAAAATGGCTGATGTGTCTCTGTAGAGCTTCCTTGGAGCGCGCTGCCTGTAAACAACATCTCTCGGATAAAGGACTCACCACACTTTTGTCTTGGCGTGGAGACATGCCAGCTTGAACAGACCCCTGTCCCTCCTTGAATGAATGTACACGCCGTCTTCCGTTGAGCTTAAGGCATATGAGAGTGATGAGGAGGAGGATATTCCAAAGAGAGTTGGCACGAGAACACAGCCCTGTTTCAGAATGCTCTTTTTCGAGAAGGCATCCGAGGAGAAGCCATAATGTTGGATGGTGCCATACATGTTCATGTGGAAGAACACAATCATCTTGTGGAGCTTAGGTGGGCATCCTACCCAGTGCCGGATTCATGTATAAGCTAAACAAGCTATAGCTTAGGGCCACACTCTCTTGGACCCCCCCCCCAAAAAAATTAAAGAAAAACAACAACACTGGATGTACATTTCCAAAATATAAGATAAAAAACAAATAAAATAAAACCTACATACAGCAACAGTGGCAAATGGCTTTTGATACCTATTAGGCCCATAAATTACCATATAGCATATATTCAACACAAAAAACAGTGACAATTTGTTGTTGACAAAGGACAGCTGAACATATAAAGGGCCCCATTACCTTCAGTAGCTTAGGGCCACATCAAACCTAAATCCGGCCCTGATCCTACCTTATTGAGCAGCGTGAAGAGTCCTTTTCAGTTGATGAGGTCAAAGGCCTTTCTCAGGTCTATGAAGGTGATGTATGTATACATGGAACTCTTGGAACCTCTGCATAATACGATGCGGTCATATATTTCAACTGCATACATTTAAAATTAGTCATGACTTAATGTGTGGGTTATGGTTTTTAACAAAGAAAAATAAGGAAGGGAAGGGAAGGGAAGGGAAGGGAAGGGAAGGGAGTGTGTGTGTGTGTGTGTGTGTGTGTGAGAGAGAGAGAGAGAGAGAGAGAGAGAGAGAGAGAGAGAGAGAGATCAAGTTTTTAATTTTCAACCAGGCTGGGTCAAAGCCACGTGTTGTGGCATATGTGCATCATCCGCCCGTTCCCCATTGCTGAAAATCAACACGGTCCACAATTTTGGGCTAGGTATCTGAAATCTGTTGGCAAAGCATCACAACACATTCCCCACTCCATTACACTTGGACGATCCAGGTATATAAAACACTTCAAAAATGAAAGATTACATGAAACTACAGTTTAACTAAGGGGAAGTCTACATTGGCATAAATATCCGCTGTTCTTGCATATCACCACCAGATGGGGCTCAATAATAGCCGAAATGTTCTATTACCTGCACATACATGCATATCTATACCTCTCACTCAAAAATCTATTATATACACCATTTTCTAATATACTATATTAGCATTCCTCAAAAAAAGAAAAAAAGAAATCCCACTTGTCTCCTCTCATGGTTCACATTTTTTAAACCACTAATGTGACAACTTAAGGACTTTTGGAAATCTTAATGACTTAAAAAAAAATGTATATTAAAATCTGCCGTAGAGTACTGGGAGACTTAAGAATAATGTTCAGGGATGACTGTATCAGTTTTACAGTATTGCAGTTATCAATAGAGTGAGCAGTTCTGTAAAATCCATTTGTGTGTTTCTGTGCCAGTTATTTTATCAAATATGAAAAGGCAAAAAGCTGCCTAACGCCACATTCAAGCCACACGTTTAAAGCACTATGACACCACTTTGAGCAGGCATGGGTCCCCACAAAGAATTTTGGAAGCTGTTATTTGTTAAGGGAGCTGAGAGTTGTTAGGAGAACCCTTATTTCCCTCCACAGAGATACAATTCCCTGCATGATTTAACACACACACACACACCCTTCCCAGGGAATTATAGTCCTCAACTTCACATTCTGTGTGCAGGGTGGCAAAAGTTGGAGGACACATTTTGGCTCCATTCTGCCTCCTAGGAAGAATGCTGTGGCAAGAATATTCTGGCTCCAACCATCAGCTAAAGCAGGAGCCAGTAACCTTTTTCAGCCGTGGGCCAGTCCACTGTCCCGCAGACCTTGTGGTGGGCCAGACTATATGGGGGGGGGGTGAACGAATTCCTATGCCCCACAAATAACCCAGAGATGCATTTTAAATAAAATGACACATTCTACTCATGTAAAAACACGCTGATTCCCGGACCGTCCGCGGGCCGGATTGAGAAGGCAATTGGGCCACATCCGGCCCCCGGGCCTTAGGTTGCCTACCCCTGAGCTAGAGAGTATGATCCCCTACTTCCTGCTAATAAGAACACTTATAAGAATTTTGTCTCTAAGATCTAGTGCCTGTCTTTGCTTTCCCCACCCTCCTCCTTCCAAATACCTTTTCCTTGCTATGTGTTTTTTTCTTTAAGATTATAAACCTGAGGGCAGGGACCCCCTTATTACCGATCGTTGGTGAGCCACCGCGAGAGCCCTTTTCTGCTAAAGACTGGGGGTTATATATTTTAAATAAATAAATGAAGTACGCAATTTCTGCTGAAGGGTAGCTAGCAGTAGCATGA